GTTCAACTTCATGTTATATTTCCTTAGAATTTGAAAAATGTCATTCAGATCACTTAATAGAGAGCTCGAAAGTTGGGTTTTCATGACGATGTCATCAACATAACACTCAATTTTATTGCCAATTAATGGTTTAAAAACTTTATTTACAAGGTGCTGGAATGTTGCTCCAGCGTTTTTTAATCCAAAGAGCATAACCTTATGATAGTATAGCCCGAGCTCAGTTCCGAATGCGGTCTTGTCCTAGTCAGCATGATCCATCCTAATCTGGTTGTAACCGGAGTAGGCGTCCAGAAAACTCAGCAACTCGTGCCTCGAGGTCGCGTATACTAAATGGTCAATCTTAGGTAGTGGGAAACAGTCTATCGGGCAGGCTCTATTCAGGTCGGTGTAGTCGACGCACATGTGCCACTTGCCGTTGGCCTTTTTCACCAGCACCCGGTTGGCAACCTAGCTCGGGTAATGGACTTCCCTAATGATGTCTGCCGCGAGGAGCTTCCCAACCTCCTCATCGACTACCCTCCATCGTTCCGGGGCGATGTTGCATTTTCTTTGTCTCACTAGCCTAACTAGAGGGTCGACATTTAGCTTGTGTGTTATTACTTTAGGGTCAATTCCGGGCATCTCCACCGTGGACCAAGCGAATATATCTAACTTTTTAAGTAAAAAATTTACTAATTGAGTTCGGAGCGGCTTGCTGATTAGTGCATTGATTTGAAGGGTTTTGGCGGGATCGGTCTCTGAAACCGATATGTGAACTGTTTCTTCTATTAGGGCAGCTTGTTCCTTTGCGTGCTCCTCTGGTTGCTCTTGTTCGATGTCCTCCACCAACTTCGCCTTAAGGGTGGCCACGTAGCATTTGCATGACTTGAGCTGGTCACCTCACACCACCCCCACACCATAGTCAGTTGAAAACTTCATTGCTAAGTAATAGGTAGACACTATTGCACGTAAGACATGTGTGATAAGTCGACCTACAAATGCGTTGTAGAGGGATGGTGTCGCAACCACCAAAAAGGTGTGCTCGAACCGCACGATGTTTGGCCATGTGCCTGCTTCCACTGGTACGGTAACTCTGCCAAGGGGTCTAACCTCTTCTCCATTGAACCCCACCAATGGCGTGTTTGCTGGCGTTAGATCGCTCTTTTGTAACTATAGCTTGTCGAAGGTAGTCTTGAAAAGGATGTCCGCCGAGCTACTTGAATCTACCAGAATCCGCTTTACCTCGAAGTCGTTGATTTTGAGTTTTATGACTACGGCGTCTTCGTGTGGATACTGAATCCCATATGCGTCGTCCTCAGTGAAGTAAATAGGCTCTTCAAGACGAGGTCGCTTTGGCGGGTTTTCGCCCTCATTTTCCAACTCGCGGACTGGCGTCCTTCCGGCTGCCGAAGTGCACCCTGCAATGATGGACCCTCTGGTGATCATATTGATCACCCCGCAAAGTGGCCTCTCTTTTGGTAATTGCTGAGGTGGTTGCTCGTTCTATTTGCTAGACCCGGGGGCATTTCTTCTCTGATCTCTTGGTCGATGCTCTTACCGATCTTCCTATTCTCTTTCTTCTTGGAGGATATAGTTCTTTAGATACCCGCGGCAGATGAGCTCCTAAATCTCGTCATGAAGATTCCTACAGTTCTCCGTACTATGACCGTGATCCCGATGGAAGTGGCAGTAGACATTCCTGTTCCTTGTTGCTGGATCTCCCCTTAGCCTGGGTGGCCATTTGACTATGGAGGAGTCTTTGATTGCCATAAGGATCTCTCCTCACTTAGTATTTAGGGGGGTGTAGTTGGTTCGTTCTACTAGAGGGGTCCTATAACGCCGACCCGACCTGTAGCCGTGCGTGCGAGACTTATTGCTTGAACGTGGGGACTTACTTCTCTTTCTACTTGGGGACTTACTTTTCTTACTCTTTTGCTTATCATGGGTCGTTCCTTCGTCTTCTTTCTTCCTCTTTTCACCTGGCGGATTGTTAGCTTTCTGATTGATTTCTTCCTCGGTGCTAATGAACTGGTCAACGAGTTTGAGGAACTCAGTAATATTTTTTGTCTTGTTCGCCACCACGTGCCCCTTAAACTCTCTGTGGGTAATCCCCTTTTTTGCCGTAGTGAGACGTACCGCCAGATCGATGTCTGGTCTTTGCAGCCATGTATCGTTAAAGCGCTTGATGTAGCTTCTTATAGATTCCCCCTCCCTCTGAACTACGTTCAGAAGGCTCTCCTGTGACTTCAGGCACTTCTTGCTAGTGATAAAGTGCGTCGTGAACAGATTAGCGAATTGAGCCCAGCTCACGATGGAGAAGGCCACACACATGCATGCTTTGTTAGCCCCGATGAGGTGCATCTGAGACTAGAAGGCGTCTACATGATCATTGGGGTCGAACGATCCATCATACTTGTCCAAAGGAGGGATCTTGAAGTCCTTTGGCATCGGGGCCGCTAGGAGCTCGGGTGACATAGGAGATGGCCTACTTAGAAGGGCAGGCGTAGTATTTGTTGCCACTGAGCTTACCTCTTCCTTTTCTTTGGTCCGCTTGACTGGCTACTAGCTGGGATTTGCTGGCAAACCATTCCTGGCTGAAGAGCGACGAGTCTTGCGACGCCGCTGCTGTTGCTTCTTCACTGGTTCGACTTTAGTGCTACTGACCTCAGTTCGATCCTGTTCCTCAACCCTAGTTCTCTCACTCTCCTGGACACTGCTGCGAGGTGGGTCAGGGTTCCTTCTTACTGACTCCTCTTGGTTGTGTTGATCACGATGTGGCGCGGAAGGGACTTGCCTCGAGTCTGCGCCGTGGGCTTCAGATCGATGTTTCTTTGCGATCTGTCGTTCTCAGGTCGTGAGTATTGCGGTTGGTTATCTCTGTCGAGCTGGCTGCCTTCACGCCTCTCACCCGGGTTCCCCCTTTGAGAAACCAGGGAAGCGAGCTGTCTGTCTGCCCCGCCTTGTGGTGGAGTTTGGTTTCTGGGGAATGCCGGTACCTGTGATGTCCCTTCACCCTGATGGGGAGAACAGAGAACGTTCTGACGGTGAGCTACATAACGAGGCAGGATCGGTTGGTGGCTCGGGTGTAGAGGAGGGAATTGCTGCTGATAAAGGAAATGTTGTTGGAACTGTTGGATTTGTTGCATTTGCGTCTGATGGTTCAGACACACTGCACCAGGTCGTCGAATTGTGAGTGCCTGACCCAAGAGGAAATCACAGTTGGTTTTGAAAAAGAGGTAACCAACTGGGGGAGCGGGGTGCTCACTTGCGAAGTGGTTTGTGGTACAAATTGTGATGGGAACCCTGAAACTATGAGAGAGATGGTAAACTGACCGATACACACCATGGGACCCTGAGGGAGAGTTGTTGGCTGATCTTGCCCCTCGGCGATGTTCATGTCGATACCTTTCCCGATGTTGCTGGAGGAATCCATTGAGATATTAAGATGACCTTTCGTTCAGGTTCCCACAGATGATGCCAATTGATGGAGCACGAACTGGATGCTCCCTTCTAGAGGATGACCTGGAGCTTTGTTGTGCGATGAGCGGGTTGTTCTACAAAATAGTGAGCTCAGAGAACCAGGGGTGACTAACCCGACGAGGTCACTCCGATGCTTAAGTTAGTATTCTTGCGGTAGATTGCGAGCTGGAAATGAGCTAGAGTGCTAGTGTGTAGGTGATGTATGCGTACCTGGGCCCTGGAGGGGTTGTTGCCTTTATATATAGAGCTGCCGTGAACCTCATGGAACAATTCTAGGATCTTTAGCCTGGATGGATGAGGTCTCTTCCCGTTTTATCTAGGGAGTATCGTGCCAGTTTACGATCCTTATCGTTAACGCCCGATCCAGACGGGGATAGGATAAGGCTTACTGTCGTGCGGCGTGATCCTGTGAGGTTCGGAGTCGCCTAGAGCCGATTACGTCACTTCGACTCCTATGTCATGAACTGGTCGGGACACTAGGTGACCTGCTACATACCGAGGTAGTTTTGCACCGAGGTGACCAATCACCGAGCTCCCAACCAATTGACTAATCTCTCCTTGCTGAGTTGTTGCTTTGTTGGCGGATCGTATCCACGTGTCCCCCCTTGCTAGGTCGGGTCAAATCACCCTTCATCAAATCCTAAAGCCATATTTATTTGTAATGCAATTCTGAATCAGATACAAATTTTACATGCAGTTCAAATTTGCATGTATTTATTTGTGATTGGTCTTACCTAATGCAAAATTTGCACTACTTCCTCCTACCCGATTCTATTATATAAATGGGGATCATGTCAATTTGCTTCCTTAATCCCCCAAATAAATGACTCCTCTGGCCTGTTTTCTTTCCTATGAATTGGGAACCACACATTTTACTAAAGAGTATAAATACAAATACAAACAAATAAAACACGACCAAATCTGAAGCAAAAGTAAATTACACTCATTCAATTTGCACTCTTAAACATTTACATTAATGCAATTGGAAATTTGCAGTGCAAAAAAGCGAGCCGAAATTTTAGAATAAGAAACATTTTTTTTACTAAAAAGCAAAAAAAAAAAAAAGAAAAATACAAACCATCCCAAACCCAATGAAGTTCAACAACTCGGGTTGAACTCTCTAAAGTCAACCAACCCAGGCCCGACTCCGATTACCACTCTCCTACGTACAAGTTACAACTCTCTAGAGTCTTGTAGATAGACAGCTACAGCTATTGCCTATTGGATCAAAGAAAGAAGCCAGATGGTACGCGTGAGCGGTGCAATGTTGGATGGATTAAGCCCCCCACACGGTGACGCCAGCCAATTCCCAACCCTTCACTCCCATTCTCACCAAATAAAATTGAATATTTCTATCTTCTACTCTCTCTCTCCCTCCTTTTAATCAAACCAAATTAGTCGAGTCTTCTCTCTTCGTAAATTCCACTTTCTTTGCTAAAATGCGCCTATCTCCTTCCTATTCTCAACTCAAATTGAGGGAGAATTAAGCTCCGCTCCCCAGTCTTCTTTTATAAATGTATATATATATACATATATATATATATATATATATATATATATATGTCTCACTGACTTTCTTCTGCAACCCCAAATCCCAATCCTGTGGCTTGAAAGTTGAAAATATGGGAATCGTGTCATGTCCCTTTACTTGCCATTCAAATAAAGAATCTCAGTCTCAGTCTAACCACCTTCACTCGGACTCCACCTCTCTCTCTTCTCAACCCAGCTTGTCGTCGGTTCCTTCCCTCACCTCACAATTCCACCGCCAACAACAACAGCAGCAGCCACAATCTTCCACCACCCGCTATCACTGCCTCTCCATTCTCAAGGGCCATTCCTCTTACGTGTTCTCCCTTGTCCTCTCCGGCAAATTTCTCTACAGCGGTTCCTCTGACAAGGAGATACGAACCTGGCCTCGGATCCCATCCGATCCTCAACCAGATGGCCAACAGTCTTTAACCAACAACGTGGTTGCCGTCGGCAAGGGTGCAGTGAAGTCTCTAGTGGTCTCCGGTGACAAATTATACAGTGCCCATCAAGACCACAAGATCCGCGTATGGCGAATCAATAACGACGAGACCCAGCAAGGTATGTACAAGCGCTTGGCCACGCTTCCCACTCTAAGCGATCGTGTCATGAGACTCCTCCCACCCAAGAACCATGTCCAAGTGCGCCGGCACAAGAAATGCACCTGGGTTCACCACGTCGACACCATATCAGCACTCGCTTTATCTAGAGACAGGTCTCTCCTCTATTCCGTTTCATGGGATCGGACATTAAAAATCTGGCGAACGTCCGACTTCAGGTGTCTGGAGTCGGTAGGGAACGCACACGACGACGCGATCAACGCAGTGGCCTTGTCTAGTGATGGGTTCGTCTACACTGGGTCGGCCGACAAGAAAATTAAGGTCTGGAGGAAGTTACCCGGTGACAAGAAGCACTTGCTTGTGGCCACACTGGAGAAGCATGAGTCCGCCGTTAATGCGTTGGTTCTTAGTACCGATGGGTCTGTGTTGTATTCCGGTGCATGCGATAGATCAGTCATAGTTTGGGAGAAAGATAGTGGCGTTGTCGCCGGAGGCGGCAGCGATGGTGGTGCTCATATGGTGGTTGCGGGTGCGCTTAGGGGACACACCAAGGCGATTTTGTGCTTGGCCGTGGTGTCAGATTTGGTATGCAGCGGTTCGGCCGATAAAACGGTTAGGATTTGGAGAAGAGGCGCTGAGAAAAGCTACTACTGTTTGGCAGTGTTGGAGGGACACAGAGGACCCGTCAAGTGCTTGACTGCTTCCATAGACGGTTCTAACAGCACCAATTCTTCAGGAGCTTCTTACCTTGTTTACAGCGGCGGTTTGGACTGTGATATCAGGGTCTGGCAGCTTTTGGTTCCCCTTTGAATTTTTTTTTCTTCCTTTTTGCTCTTCTTATCTTATTATTGATTTGTCCTCTCCTCTGTCTCATGGACTATCTGTACATAAGCTTGAGTATACTGAGCCTTCTTTTTTTCCCCTTGGCTTGACTTTATCGGCTTACTGTTTGAGGAGTTTTGTTTTTTTTTGGTGAGACTGTTTGAGGAGTTCAGAGGTGGTTTCTATTCTATAATAAATCTATTTAAATTTATGAGTTTCCCTGGAGCAAATTCAGGGGTTTGAGAAATGAGATCAATTCCGATGTTCATAATGTGTGGCATAAATGGATGCATGCTTTAAGAATTAACCAGAGCTTTCACTATCATAGAAGGTGATTAGTAACCAAAATTTGAAAGTTATTTAGGTAAGAAATGCCCATGTACATGGATTTCAATTGTTCATCACCAGGCAGGGAATAGCTCAAAGACCAAGATGTGGGCCATTCTTAATTTGATATCTCATCTATGTACAAGCCTTAAGCATTTGCACTAAGTTGATTTTTGAACTTTGTAGGAGAAATAGAAGTTTCTACTCTCCAAGCTTTATTTGATTGATGAATAGAAGGAGAAAGCAGGTGAAGTTGAGGGAAAAGAAGTCCACTTTTGCTTACTACTTTTGTAATATCTGAAAATTTTATCTGAGATCCTTTCAACTGGTATCATATGTGAGTACGTCTCTAGTTCTACTAATTAGGATTAGCATTCCTCTTTCGGTCTTTCCTATTTAAATGAGAAGATGGGCTGACTGCTGGGACGGCAGAGGGTATAAAACCCATTCAATTCAATGGTAGTCTTACATATGGTAAACGGAACCTAACCCTTGTTTAATTTCTCCAATCCATAATAGCAGTTGAACTTTTTTGGGGATGCTTGTATTGTTTAACTTTGACTTAACATCCCAAATCAACCCAATTAATATTTTATATATTTTCTCCCTCGAGCCAAAATCAGTTGCCAAAGTCCTGATAGAGAAGTTGAGAAGGGTATGAATCCATGATTAGATTCCATCAATTAGGTCTGAAAACCCAAAAGAAAGGGGTTTTTGATCCTATCTGCAGAAGGCTCCTTTCATAAAAAAAAAAAACCTCCCAAGAAGACATTAAAAAAATGTATTAAAACGTTTGAAACAATTGGTTTTCTTAGAAAAGCAAACCCCACTTAGTGGCATCCCTTCAACGAAACAAAGTCGATGGTTGATGTTTATAGCTGCTTGCTTACTTTATTCCATTCTAGAAATGTGCTCAAATAAATCTTCACATTTTAATTTCTTTTTGCAATTTAAGGTGAAGGTGAATTAACCTTCAAAGTGACTCAAAAGGGTTGTGAAAAAAAAAAGAAGCATCATGATAACATAAGACACCAGTTAAGGTTTCTATTTCAATTTAAGTCCCGACAGTCTAATAAAATGGAAAGGAAGGCTTTTTTGGTATTAATTAATTTTAATTTACTATAAGAAAATACTAATTTCCTTTTGGAATATCTATACTACATTTAACATTGTCAGACATTGATTACATGCATTAAATCCATACTACTATTATGGTTAAAATTTAAAAGTATAAATGATATTGTGAAACTTTTGTTTGACTAAAAAATTTCAATTTTTTATTTTGGCCCCTCTCTGATTGTAATGACAGAAATGTAATTTGATTAATCACTTCTCTCCTCATTTAAATCCTCTCGTTAAGTCTTATATTTAAGGTGTATTAACTCCCATGGACATTCATTGAATCCTATTCTTGATTAGAATATTCCTATTTGAATTTGATTTCTCTCTAATGGTGAGGGCACAATGTATAATTTGAACTACTACATTTCTCCTCATTCAATTCCCTTCTATATCGTCTTATATTTAGGATATTAATTCTTATTCTTTCATTGATTACTATATTAATTAACCTAAAAAAAAATAAGCATGACAAAATAAAAACAATAATACAAATTTAAAACTAATCTCAAAATGTAGTTCTCCATTTGGTGGTGAAAACCATCCCGCTCCAAGAAAGCAACTTGGAATGGGCCATTCCAGTTCCGATTCCATACCCCTATTCTTACAAACCAAACGGGGCCTAAGTTCAATCTCTCCCATTGCAATTTTGTTTTGGTGAATCATCGGGTAACATCATTCTACTTCCCTCCTTAATCAGTCCAGAAAGAAGTGCATTCCTACCTTCTCATCCTATTGACTTGATATAGCATCATCTCCTTGAATGAAATAGATGAGTACAAGGTACAAAAACGGCTCTTTCTGCAACTTCTTTGACATTTTGTTATTTATATTAATAATAATAATAATAACAATTATTTCATAAGAAAGTACTCAAGCTTACAAAATTTATAAAATGAAGGACAAAAGGGGCAATTGAAAATTATGGCCACTATTATGAATATATCATTTACATCAATTATGTAATTGGGTGGACCCAGTTGTTCACTTGGCCTTTCTTGTTGACTGAGCGTTTTCTTGGATTGTATCTGAGCATTGCTGAATGAATTTCACCTTATTAGACCTAAAAGCAAAAAAGTAAAAAAACGAAGTGGACAAAAACTGTTATGATGCTGTCACATAGGTGCTTTTTGTAAGTATAATAATGTATAATCAAATTCTAGGGTACCACCACTATTCTATTCTAACCCTTGATGAGTTGGTATTCACTACTATAATAATGTATATCAATGAAACGGTTATAGTGTCTCATCAAGATTGGGCTCAGATATCCCACTTCAAACCTTTTATACCTGACCAATAGAGTCTTTTCTCATATAATACTCTAAAACACTTTAACTAACTTTAATATTTCAGTAAGAGGTTCAAGGCAAAAGATTATACCTTTTAATTAATTACAAATTGGTGTTGAGTTAGGTAAAAGTCATCCACTTTGCCTTGCCCGTCTTTTATCTAATCTATGTACTTTCTTTCCTGGTCGAAGTGGTATTTTCACATGTGATGATCGTTGAGATGGGATCTTGGGGAAAAGCTCTCCTTCTGAAGTAATTCAATTGGGCAAGACTGCTTGGAACTATCACCCTTTTCCTGTTCTGAAGAGACCTACCTTCATCTAATAATCTCTGAATTGTCTTCCTATGTATCTCGGCCACGTGAAGTGAGAGGGTTATCAAGATGCTTTAATTCAACTATAGAAGCCTAAATTTAGTTTAATTTATAAAATGGAGTCAAAATGAAAACACTAGATTATTTTATAGCATTTCAACACATGTATTGTGGTCAAAAGAATGTTTTAGGTGTTTGGCATTGGTGCTGAGAATACCACATCATTTTCTGAGAAAAATGGTTTTGGGCATGTGGAGTTGTAAGTATCGTTTTTAATATTTTTTGGAACCGGTGCTTATTTTTTGTTTGGAATCAGTATTGCCACATAGGCGTTTTTTTTTTTGAGAAAACAGCACTGTTTTTGTTTGGTATCAGTACTGGCAGCAACGTTTTCAATATTGATCTTATTATCCAACATCCAATATGATGCCACATTGATGCCATGTCATTGTATTGTTGGCAGCAATGCACTGTTTTCCCATAAAACATCAAATTTGATGTTGCTCCAAACCACACTTCCCCGATTTCCAAGGCATGGTCTGGAGTAATGTTTTTCTGAGAAAACAATACCAAACAAGAGAGTGTTACTTCCAGCACCATTTTCTTTGACGTGGCACCTACATAACACCGTTTTTTTCAGAAAACGGCACCAATGCCAAACACCGCCTTAATAAATCCTTTTAACTCAAGCCTCGGTTTATCATTTTCTTTCCTCTTTTGATAAACACAATATTTAACTTAGTTCTGAAAAATGAGCCAAATGAAAGTCTCAAGTCAACTTAGATATTTTCTGTTTTTTTTTTTTTTTTTTTTTTTTTAAACTATTAACCTCATTCATGAGAGCTAGAATCAAGGTTCAAAGTATTGCATATCTTATGATACGTATAAACTTTTAAACCCACTAATACATTAAATAATAAAAGATAGGTAGACCCATTTTCAGTCATTAATACCCTTTCTAAGCTCTCTCTTTTTTGAACCTTGAAACCTGAAAATGGATCTATCTATCTATGAGTCATCATTTGAATTGTGCGAAATACAATTTGTGTATTGTACATTTCGATACTTTGAACCTTTGATAGTGCTTGTAAGAAGAGAGGTAACACAGAAATACATTGTAAATCTCACCAGATAGCATGAGGCATCTACTCCAACCTTTATCAAATGTGCAATGTGTAAAGAGTTGGGTTTCACCCCATGGTTTTCAAAACCGGATTGGATCGGAGGTCAGATTGGAAAAACTGGGAGCCGGTCACTTGACCAGTTCCGTTTTACCTCAGAACTGCCATTTTGGCAAAAAATCGTTGATTTGATCAATAAATCACTGATTCAGGTGATCAAATCATTCAAACCATTCAAAGGTTTTTGGCATTTTTTTTTTGTTTTTTGTTAGAACGATCTGTCTGTTCGGTCCAAACGGTCATTCAGCCTGGGAACCAGACCCCTAAACGGTTCCTTGTCCAATTCGATTTTAAAAATCTTGATTTCACCAAATAAACTGGTGTATTGACAATTGACTTGTCATAAATAAGCGGTGATTGATGTTTAATTTAGAACCTTGACTAGAGCTTCACAAGGCCCTGGTGAAGGTGAAGAAGCAATTGGGACTCGGGATGACCACCGAGTAACACTTGATTACTCTATCACGGTAACCAGATTATCCCTTCCGTGAATGCATAGTCATATTCTTGTTGGTTGACCATATCCTTTCCTGTTGGGACTCCCCCGGAGGATCCAAAAAACTCAGAACTGAGTTTTATCCACGTTGGCTCAGCAGTAGGTTCACTGTTGGATCTCCATTGGACATCGAAAAGTCCCAAAATGAGGCTATTATATGTAAGGGTCAAAATATCGATATGTCCAATTTGTCAATAAAGACACATTGGTAGTTTTTTTTTTTTAAATTTGATTCAAAGGAACCGATTTAAAATCCATCTACCCCTGAATCGATCAAAACCCTAATACACCCTCTACAGAGACATATCAGAAAGCCCCCAATTTGATGCATATCAGCCAATACGAACATGACATAAGACTCACTACTATTAGTTATTACTTGTTCGGTTGTTCTGCTTCGAGGAAGGGCGTAGTTAGAAGATATCTTGGTCGATATGTCGCAAAAATTGTAGTGAAATAATGCAAGTAGAGGATATATTTTTATCGACACCCAGCAAGTTTTTAAGTAAAATATCAAGTAGTTGCTCATATAGTGTTATTTGTTACGAGTTACGACACTGGGTCTGTACTCCAAAACAAAACTGGAAAAAATAATTTATTTATATATAATAAATAAAAGTAGGATAAACATGCTTCTTCATTAGTGACGACTCAATTATCTTTAATTTCCTAATAGGAAAAGCTGCTTACGGTATCATTCTTTTTTGTCTAATTTAGATAAATTATATTATTTAACCCATCAAAGAATATTTTAAACTACATAATTGCTATTAAAATGACATTATGTATTCAACTCAAGCTCGCAATTTGTTTTTGCTGACGTGGCACTTGTTTTTGTTTATTTCTTTTGAATAATAATCCCGAACATTAGTACGCAAAAGCATATTATTTAATCCACCAATTTAAATCAAAGTTAGAGTGGTCCACACCTATGATTTGCCATGTTCTCTTCTCCAACCCTATACTCTTTCCCCTTCAACTATGTCAGAAAAGCTGTTGCTCATATGCCACCTAGAATTGCTTTGTATTTTACATTTGTCCTGTTTCGTTGGATATTTTTAGGATTCAAATGAGTAAGAGACCTTCTAAAAAAAACAAAAAACCAAAAAAAAAAAAAGGAAAATTGTAATAAAAAAAAGATGGGATTAGGGCTTAGCTTATACAAGATTATGGTTGCCCTTTAGCTCCAGTTTTCTCTGCTCTATACACTCTAAATAGAATCTCTCCAATGGGGAGAAGCGTATATTTTGCAGCTGATGGTGTTCTTTTCCACCTTAGATGGGAAAAGGGGAAACAAAGAAGGGCAACAAGAGAGTAGATATAATGCAACAGGACCTAGTAGATATTATCCCTTAAGATTGGTGTCCTTGGAAAATCAACAAAAAAGCATCCTCATGACACAATAAACTTCATTTGGAACTCATAAGAAGCAACAAGAAGCACCACAACCTGTAAACACTTGATGCCTTCACGATTAGACAGGAGGAAGTACATTTAAATAAGAATTTGACCAAAGAGATTTGTTACCCATGAGCAGCACAAAGTTTCTTCTTCTTGCCAATCCCAAGGTTCCAAGTAAACATGCCATTAGCGGATGAATCTTGAAACAAATAAGCAAGCCCGGCAACCATAAATTATCTACAATGGCAACTTCGTTGGTGTACCAGGATCACGAGGATACTTCCTTGGAGTGGGGCGATCTTTTAAACAAACAATAGCAGTTCGCTGTCCATGTGGGCTATGTGATTCCACTGAATGTCGGATAAGAGGTATTAGTTATACTTCGATGACTTAACTTGTGATCTGAAACTACTAATGGATATCCAAATTACCCCGAACTTTTGCAGATCTGATGGGTGGTTTCAGGTAATAAGGGTCAAAACTACAAGAAGCCCTTGGTTTCCCATGCTAAAGTTACTAAATCATGGTCATATGCAAATGAAAGAAAGTACTTTTCAGTTATAGCAAATGAGAAACACTTGTCAACTGTAATCTTTAATTAAAACTCATTTTCAATGGGAGAAATTATACCATCATAACAAAGAATGATATGTGAAAAATGGAAATAATAGAAGTCCTTACCTGAGAAAAGTTGTAATATTGAAGCTCCCATCAAGTGTATTGCTTTTTCTGCCTTTCTAATTTCATCCTGGGAAAAATATTGGACAGCCAGAAAAAGTAAAGAATTGTCTATGAAATTAATTCACATTTACAAGAAATGAATACAAAACATGTAAACATGACACAAAAGACATTTTCCATCTTGACATCAACTAAGATAACTCTCAATTATGTGAAGCTAGGTTCCTAGAAACAAATGATACGAAGGTTTGGATCTACAATATTCTCCCATTAATGTCTAAAGACACTAAACAGACACCAAATGACTGGGGAAGGTAGATTGGAACCATAAGTAGGGGTGCAACTTGGGTCAGGTTGGGTTGGGAAATTGTTAAATTTTCAATGGCAGAACCCTAACCCAAGCCCGATGTAGTTGAAGTTGTTCAGATCGGGCAACTCAACTTGCAGTTCCAACTGTTTCTAACTGTAAGTTTCAGACAGGACAACAAGTATCTTGGTTTCTAATCTCAACACAATATGCTGTACATGAGCATAGTTTGAAAGAAAATGGGGATGAAACAAGTGCAAGTGATTTAAGTCCTAGAGAAAGAAATGAAATCATACCTGAGGCTCATGACCTTTTGCAGCTACAAACAAGCCACCGACACGGACCAATGGAAGACAGTACTCAGCTGAAGGTAGCAAAAACTTTCAGCAACAAGAAAACAAGAATCAATGGAACACTAATAGTCTAATATGACCAATTTACATGGTACCTAAAATTCTCATTTCTGCTACAGCTCTTGCTACTGCAACATCATACATTTCCCTGAAGTCAAGATTTTGGCCCACACTCTGTCCTATAAAAAAACTTTGGATTATGATTCACATATAAAAAATAGAAAGGAGAAAATAATAAGGAAAAAAGACAACACAAACAAGTAAGAATCGTAAACCTGATATTTCTTAACAATATCGTGGTCACTAGTTTTTTCTTTTTCCCATGTGACAACATGCCATATGTTTCCTAGATCTGGTTTAGTGGCAAATTTCAAACTACAAGGTCTACAAGTAGACAATGAGAAAGCCACCATAGGAATGTAAAAAGATATACAATTTTATTGTAGATAGCTGTTCATTTCAAACAAATTTACTGTTTACACCAACATGAAATCAATCCTTGATACAAGCAATTGATTTGTTGTTGTTAGTATTATAAAAGGTTTGAAGTAGGATTGCAAACAGATTGAATCCAATTTGTTTCAAGAATATTCAAATTTGAATTGAATTTTATCCATCAGATTTGGATTGAATCTGAACAGAATTAGGATTGAATACAGATATTGAATCATCATCATCCGTGCCTTATCTCAACTACATGGGGTTGGCTACATGAATCCTGTTTCACCAATCTGTTTTACTCAATGCCATATCCACTGTTAACTTATTAGTGTTTAAATCATTTCTTACTACTTCTACCTATGTTCTTTTTTGTCTAATCGAAGCTCTTCTGGCCCCTTAAATGTGTAACAAATCACTTCTTCTAACTGGTACAATTAGTGGTCTTCTATGCACATGCCCAAACCATCTTTAGTCTACTGTCTCTCATTTTATCACCTATTGGAGCTACTCCTAGGTTCCTATGGATAACCTCATTCCCAATCCTATCCTTTCTAGGTTTCCCACTCATCCATCTTAGCATTCACATTTTACCCACATTCATTTTCTAGACATGTTGTTTAATTACTGCCCAACACTTTGCTCCATACAACATAGCTGCCTTACAATTGTTTTATAGAATTTTGAATCCAAGTGGTATTCACCTATCACATAAAACTCTAGATGCACCCCTCTGTTTTTCCCACCTTGCTCTAATTCTTTGGGTGACATCCTCCTTAATCTCTCCCTTTTTATGAATTATTGAACCAAGGTACTGGAATTTGTCACATTGAGTTATCTCATGGTCTCCAATCCTAGGTGTATCTTGGTTTACACTCCTATTATTACTAAATTTACATGCCATATACTCTGTTTTAGTCCTACTTATTTTAAAACATCTTCTTTCTAAGGCATTTGTCCATAAGCTTAATTTTGCATTTAATCCTTCATTAGTTTCATCAATTAAAACAATGTTATCCACAAACAACATGCACCATGGAACTTCCTCTTCAATATGTTTAGTCAATTCATCTATGACTAGTGCAAATAGAGAAGGGCCAAGTGCTGAACCTTAGTAAAGACCCATAGTAACTGTAAAATCTTAAGTCTTTCCCACTAGTCCTCTAACATTAGTTGTTGCTCCCTCATATATATCCTTAATTAGGTCTATATACCCATTTGAACCCCTTTCTTTTCCAAGAACACCATATTATCTCTCTAGAAACTCTATCATATGCCTTTTCTAGATTAATGAACACCATATAAAGATCTTTCTTCTACTCTCAGAACTTTTCTATCAATCATCTCAAAAGAAATATAGCTTCATGGTTGATCTCCCTAGCATAAAGCCAAATTGGTTCTCTGATACACTTGTTTTAAGTCATAATTTTTGTTCAAGTATACTCTCCCAAAGTTTCATAGTGTGGTTTATAAGTTTAACCCCCAATAGTTATTACAACTTTATATATTGCCTTTGTTCTTAAATATAGACACCATACTATTGTTTCTCCATTGAAAATATAGATCCATGTCACCCACCATAATTTGAAATGATCAAATTATTTTATCATGCATAAAATAATCTGAAAATGACATTGAGATACAACATCCAAACCAACTTTACTAAAAGATACAATAGCAACCCTATTTGATCCTATTATAAACAGATTTGAGTTCAGATCACTCTTGACTGTAATGGATTGAAGTTCAATATCAGAAAAATGGATTGAAGTATTTCACCAAGCTATATTCCAGTTCTTATTGCAGCTAAATTCTACCACTCCCCTTTGAGCTGCTACCGAGTACTGATCAGTAGAAAGTTATCAGAAATCTGGTCCTTACATGATAGGGTTTTATCTAAATGCCTTTTTTACCAATAAAAAAAATCTAAAGGCTGCTTTCCAAGATCATGGCCCTGCCTACTCTTATCTTCTTTTTATTATTTGTTTCTTCTTTCAAAATCATATCAAATGCAGAATAAATAAATCGATCAATTTGTTATGGAAGGACAAGAATTGATGAAGATTGTTGTTAGGGATGGTTTTTATATGTTTCTGGTGCTAGGGGGTTTATGTAATTTTTCTTCTTTCAAGGGACCACTCTATAATTATGATTTTTGTTAATATATTAGGGTGTTGTGGGTAACGCCACTAACCCATTCGGTTTTCTTCTATTACGTTCTTCTCTTCTCCTTCCTTCCTCTCTTCTCTTGAATCTCACCTTTCTTGTTGTCACTCCTAGATAGTAAAGCCACTTGCTCCCCCTTGAGAGAAATCATAACATCCCTCCTAGTTTCCTTTGGCTGCACCAAAGTAAACACTTCCTCAAGGCTCAGAAGTTCCTTACAACCCAAAACCTGAACCTGAATAGGCTTAAACAGGTTTCAGACCAGCAAAGAAGGTAAACACCCTTTCTTGAGAGAGCAATTTTCTGTATGCAGAAGCATCCTCACCACTCTTCCAATCTATAGATTTATAGTGATCCAGCTCCTTCCACATTGAAGTAGGGACAGAATAATAGGCAGCAAGGGATTTCACTCCTTGTTTCAATGTAGCTGACTCCACTTGGAGTTGGTCATAGTTGTCAAGGCGACAAGGCGCCCTTTGAGGCTTGCCTCGCCCAATCGCCTAACAGTTTTCTACTTCCTACTATAAGATACTTCTTTATTCATTCTTTTTTGAGATTATAATTATAAAATAGACATTATTAAACTAAAATAATCATTTCGTGTGTTTATATACTAATTTCTTTTTATTATTTTCTTATTTATTAGGGTTTAATCAACAGAAACATTGCTAAATGCTGCATTGAACCCTCAAAGACTTAAAAACCTGAACCGATAAGTAAGGAAGAACTAAAAATTTTATCTAATCAGCACATTTTCCTCTTCCATATATTCTTCTTCTACTACTTCTTCTTCTTCTACTACTACTACTACTACCAATACTTTTTATTTTCTTCTTTTCCTATAACAAAAATAAGGGTTCAGCCCCTATATTTTTTGAATTTTATTTTCCTTTTTCCTTTTCTTCTCATGAATATGTTGATTTTTTATACTTTAATATGAAATTTATACTTTTCTTATGAAAACCATGAATAATTATTAAAGAAATATGGTTATGGTACCTAGGGAACTACCCTAGGATCTATTTTTTAACATAAAAAAATTCATTGCCTAAGCGACTAGGCGACTAGGCGCCCCCCCAGTTGCCTAGCCTCGCCTTGGCACCTTGAAAACTATGGAGTTGGTAGATCTGAGCAAAGTGACGTTCTGAATACGTGGTCTTTGCTTGGTCACCAAATTTCCTTGGTTGTTTCAGGCCACATAAATTTTTTTCTAAGTGCAAGCTGAATAGAAGAAGTAAGCCAAGACATAATAAGACCATTTTCTTGCTTCCACTTCTCATACTCAACCCCTTCACTAGTAGGCTTCTTAGTCTTTCCAGTGAGGTACCCTAACTTCCCCTGGCTCCAACAAACATCTTCACACTATTGGACCATCAAGAAGAACAATAGATACAGGAAACCCAACACCATCCATCCTACTTCCAGAACTTACCAGTCCTCCAGAAGAGTTTGAAATAACAGAACTCTCCGAGGACATGGCTGAAACACAATAGATGGCGAGTTCAAACCCGAAAGAGAAAAAATGAAAGGCCCTTTTTTTTGGTTTTCTAGAGACACACAGTCTCACAACTACAGCAGTCCAAGATAACGTAGGGAAAAACAAATGAAAACCAAAAACAACACTTACTTGAGAGACTGCCACACTCGTAGTAGATACACACTATCACCGAACCACTACTGCACATTCAGCCTGGTTGGTAGCCAAACAACACTGGTTTTCACTTGGCCAACAAGAAACATGAAGTTGATCACTTGAAAAAAAATTCCATCTAACAAAAAACGCCTTCCAGTCAACACCCAGTACCTTTCTTGGTCATACCAGCCATCAACCAATCTTCAAACATAGTTCAGACCAAAAACCAAGTAAGAAAACCTCCTTATATATCTTCTGTAATCCTCTTACATGCTTCAGCTACATGAGGATCAACCCAGAAATAGGGAAATGACTTGGTCCTACAACCAAGAAAGAAGAAGGAGAAGCTTGGGTGTGCTGATCAGATCAAAGGGGTTGTTTGTATGTCCTCTTGATTGATTCGAACTGATGAGTGAAGAAGATGAACGGAGAAGAAAGAAACTTGATTATTCTATGACAGGTTGTTGCTCAGATACCATGTAATCAGTCATGGAATAATCAAGAGAAGAACGTAATAGGAGAAAATTGAATGGGTTAGTGGCAGCACCCACATTACCCTAATATATTAACAAAAATAATAATTACAGAGACACAATTTGTTTAGTCTACTTAAATGAACGATAAATACCAAAATTTTAGCCTGCTTCACTCAACAATAAGGCAATTGTGACAGACAAAGTGCATATATTCTTTCTGGAGAGAGACATTCTGAAGCCCACAATGTCATAGTCCAGAATTTATGTGAAAGACACTATCTATTTCTGTTTGAGGGAACAGATTTTGGTAAACTCTTCGAGTTGAGATACAACTTTACAAAGACAAAATTGTTGGTAGATTAAGAAGCCTTCAAAAAAATTATGGAAGATAACAAAGGGGATCAAACTGACAAGTTGTGTGAGCATTTTCATATCTTACTCTTATTAAGGATATTCAGAAATCCTTTCTTCTAATTGAGGTACATGATACCAAATTTTTAGTGATCATGAACACTCAACCTGACAGCTATACATGCAGATTGTCCCCACAAGCAGGATAAGAGAACTTCATTGTTCACAATTTCTTCAGTCTTTGCTGAAACAATCTTGAAATATTCTCAAACTGCTCTATTAGTGTGTATCTTGGCCCCTCTCACTGGAAAAGTTCATCAGTCCATGCAATATATCAGCCACTACTTTAACACATTTTTGTCTGTATCTTCAACCATCATAGGTGGGGTTTGTGACAACCAGTAAAACCATTATTCTTAGAAAAGTTTTCAGTGTGTTACACCCATTGCTCAACCAAAATGGTTCAAGTTGGGTTCCATGGTTATCAGAACATGTGATGACTGATGACCAGATGGGAATGCTCCCACCATGGGAACCACACATCTTGAATTCACAATTCATGTATACAAAGCCATAAACACAGACATATATCACGTAATGTTATTTATTTATTTTTTATGTTCTACAGCCAATATGAGTATGAGTTCAATGCATGGAATTCCTAGTGTGGGGAGGATCCCCATCTAACCATCACTCTATTGGCATAAAAATTCAAGGAGCTGCGTTTTACAATATTGCTATTTGGATGAGGCAAATATTTTATACTTACAAAGGCAGATAAGCAAACATTCCTATTTCTCAGTAAGTTGTGTAATTAACACAAAAGGACAAATGCCATCATTGTGTTCTCCTTAGGAAGATAATACAAACTATCCTATTTAGAGTAAAATCTATGGAGTGGGACTTTTAAGGGTAGGATGGTACAATTATAGTGAGGCACCACTGCCATAAAGGCAGATAAAAGATTCTAATACAGAGATGTAGGTACACGGCTCACAATTCTTCATTGCTGTTGGTATAAGGCCTAAAATTTTAATGTCCTTTCAATCCCTACCTTGAGGTTCCGATCCAGCAGTTCCAATATAGGACAACCCACAATGTCATCCTAAGAAGCAGGTCATCACTACCCCCAGATGTTGTATTAGTAATGGTAGTGATAGTACTAATAGTGGTAATATCAAAATATACATAAATACCTCCGCTCTTGCTCGCAGAATTTGCACATTTGACAAGCCGGTAAGACCAACAGCGTGCTCCAAGAAAAGGCAACGTTTATTCATCGACTCTAAAAGAGTAACCTTCCACCCTTAAAGAAATGCAAAATTTCGGATATCCAGATTAGAAAACCAAGATAAATACCAATCCTTTAAAATCATGAGCAATATATGGATCTCCAAGAAAATGTACCAAATGAATTAAGCATAAGGCAAGCGAAAATCTGTCCTTTGAGAAATACCAATGGTCTCGTATCAATTAAGAGTAGAAATACTTTGCCAAAAACAAGCATATATAATGATTTTATGGGATATTCAACTGGAAAATTACCTGGACAGGCAATTGCAATAATTAATCCAGGAAGGCCAGGGCCGCTGCCAACATCAACAAGGCTAATGTTGTCACATGAAGAGCTACAATTAGAGAGATAATAATTCTGTATAGGAGGGATGATTGCAAGCGAGTCTTCAACGTGTCTTTCCATGACCTCGCTCGTCTCCTTAACGGCAGTGAGGTTCATTCGCTGCGGATTCAAAAACAGAAGTTGAGTATGAGTGTGTTTGTGTGTATGAGAGAGAGAGAGAGAGAGAGGAATAACCTGGTTCCATTGTAGGAGCGCATCAACGTAAATGCAGATTTGTTCCTTTTGGCGGGAATTTAGGGTTTCAAGGTGCGGATAGTTGAAACATCTGGTAGTGGTTAGGTACTTTCGGTTAATATTGTAGGAATAACAGAATGTTATCTTTGATGTCGCTAACTGTTTGACGAAAGTCGGAAGAGAAAGCGCAAGAGAGAAGCTAACGAACTTATTGCACGAACCGATTGACATGTTCGCACTTCACGGCTCCTACATGAAATGAAAGCGGCTTGATCGAAATAACCACATTTTTAAGAGTTTCGATTGCCAAAGATGTAATGGCCACGGTACTATTATATTAACAAACTACGCGTGATCTAAGGGTTGTTTTTGATCGATCTATCAGATGTATGATTGTAGCACTCACGGGTATTCAATCCTCTTAAGCACATCAACGGTCTACTGTCTTCCGTGTTTGTTTATAGAGGTTTAGATATCAAACCAGACGGTTGAGATTTAATATCCACTTTCGATGCCCGGCTGAAAAGGCACCTGACAACTGCCGCACCACACTGCAGTCCCGGCTCCCGCCATGAACGAAAACTTATCTCTTCAGTTGTGATTGTGAAAAGCCCGAACGAAGTGCTCTCTCTCTCTTTCTCTCGCACACGCACAGATGTTGCTTCCTCCCTATCACCTAATTCCTTCATTTTCGACAAAGACCCTAGATTCAGCACCATTGTTCTTCCCTTCACCATCTCCAAAAATTCTAATATTTCAAAACCCTAAACCTCCCAAGTTCCTCCTGCAAAGCTATGCCGCTGATGTCAGGACTGTAAGCAAAACTGCCATTCAAAGAATTTCCGAGAAGCTCCGCAGTCTCGGTTATTTGGAGGACAATTCGAGAGAAAGCCAACAACCAGAAACCAACCATGGCTCAGCCGGTGAGATCTTCATACCTTTCTCTCACGAATTGCCGAAATACCGAGTCGGTTATACTATCGACTCGAGCTGGAGTACCCCGGAAAATCCAGTTCCGCACCCCGGTTCGGGAGCTGCTCTATCGAGATTCCAGGAGTTGAAGAGGAAGGTAGAGAAACAAAAGAGGTCAACTAAGAAAGAGGAGAGGGCACCGACATTGGCGGAGCTGACAATTCCGGAGCAGGAATTGAAGAGGCTCATAACAATTGGTATTGGATTGAAGAAGAAATTGAAGGTTGGAAAGGCGGGAATCACGGAGGGCATTGTAAATGGAATTCATGAGCGGTGGAGGCGGTCGGAGCTTGTTAAGATTAGGTTTGAGGACCTCTGTAGTATGAACATGAAGAGGACTCACGACATATTGGAGGTGAGGCTCTTTTTTGTTTTTGGTCTTGTCTTCTTAACTGATTATGCTTGAAAACTGGGGAAAGGATATTAAGATGAAGGGAAAGGATGATGATATTCGTTTGAACAATCTGTGAGGAATAAACATTAATGTGATACACCGAAACCATTTTTTAATTATAAACCAGAACTGTATTTTCCAGACATTCCTCTGTTACTTTTACTTTTTCTGGCAAGTTAAATAGTTAATAACAAATACTCTGGTCTTGGTAAATTGCAACTATACTGCTTTTGGGTGAATGTCTCAGACATATGATGCATGACCTTTATTGATAAAAGTTGTTTGAGATTGGTTCATACCATTAAGATAAAGTTAACACTCCTTTTCAGATTCCTAATTTGATGTTGATGGATGTATATTCTTGGTGCTTCAAGGATTTCTTAGCTTGGACTTGCCAATTTAAAATGTCAGACAGTTTCCTTGCCAAAGAAAAGCTTTTATCTTCTCATTGGTCCTAAACACTTGTCATGAAGGGGATTTTTTTTCTTTGCTTTTTTAGGGGGTTGGAAGAGAAAAACTAAACATTTACTATGTTAGTTGTTTGTCTTACATTTTTCAGAGGAAAACTGGGGGACTTGTCGTTTGGAGGTCTGGAAGTACCATCATCTTATATCGAGGGGCCAACTATGAATATCCTTACTTCAAGGCCAACAAAAATACAGCCTCTGACACTTCAAACACAAATAGTGGTGGTGATGGTGGCAGCACCAACTCGTTACATAAGGTTGACAAAGAATCTGCTCAAACAGGTCAGTCAAATGGGATTGCTTGCCCACCATTGGTACATGGTGTTGGTTCCCCAGATAAAGTACGATTCCAACTACAAGGTGAGATAGAATTTGCAGAAGAAGCTGACTGTCTGTTGGATGGACTGGGTCCACGCTTTACTGATTGGTGGGGATATGATCCTCTACCTGTTGATGCTGATCTTTTACCGGCCGTTGTTCCTGGGTACCGGAAACCGTTCCGTCTTCTTCCATACGGGATACAACCTAAGTTAACAAATGATGAAATGACCATCTTAAGGAGACTTAGCCGTCCCTTACCATGCCATTTTGCATTAGGTGAGTGACTTTGTTTCTCCCATTTGTGGAACTATTTTTCTTTGTTTTTCTTATGCTATAATGGCTGCTTTTGTTATTCAGGAAGAAATAGGAAACTTCAGGGTTTGGCAGTTTCCATGGTTAAGCTATGGGAAAAATGTGAGATTGCAAAGATTGCAGTTAAGAGAGGTGTCCAGAACACGAACAGCGAATTGATGGCCGAAGAGTTAAAGGTAGTGAACAGTTCATAATTTATCATTATTTTTCAATAGTTAGTAAACATCCATTGCTTTGCAATCCGCTATCTTTTGACCTGATAGCTTTCCTGTAAAGATGTTTCCGTTTTAATGCATAAGAGCATTTAGGCCCCACTACCAATGCTGGTCCTGGCTACCTGGGGTTGGGGTCTCGGGAGGGGTGAAGTAGATATGGACCTAATGTCCAGCATATTTTATTTCACAAAGTGACCATTTACGTATAAATGCTTGCTTGGTTTTATTAATACTGCTTTCCTAAGCAAAGGAAAAGAGTCTTGTTAATCTAGGTCCATTGTGATTTGTGAAGACTCAAGAATATTGAAACAAGAAATTGTTAAGTTATTCCTTGTGAACAATCAAGATCAACAGCAGGAAGACAGAATTTAAGAAGAAATTGTCAACTGGTTCTTTTGGTAAAAGTTAATAATTTAATATTTCCCTCAATGGATGGCCTGTTTCTGCTATTATGTATATGTAAGTTGTGGGTTGAGAGTTCTGCCTGATAATATTACTCATGCCTCTTCTTGACTCACCTACCTTTTGTGAGAGTATGTGGAAGAATGCTTAATTCTTCACACTGTGATTCTCTCATAGGTTTCTGAAAATCTCCCCATACCTTTCCAATTAATTCTCATTCTCTGGCTTACCGAGTGATGAGTACTTGTTTAAATCAGATAAGGTAGTACTTGCTATCAAATTAAATAGATCTTAGAAAGAGTTGGAAAACAAACAGTACAAGTTAAGACCTTCTCTAGAATGCAACCATTTTATAATTGACAAAATAGAATTATATGTCATCCGCACCTATAATACTTTTTTATTGGAAACAGTAACTTTCATTAATAACAACAGTTAAACACATATAAAGGTACCACTCACAGCATGGGTGTTGACTCCAAACAATTTCGAAATTTACAACACACCCCAAAAATCCAAACCTATAATACTTCAGCTGGACCAACAACAAAAATCTTTCCAAGGCTGAGATATAGTTCAAGAAACATATATACCCCCTCCCATACATGTACAGTGAAATTAAAAAAAAATGTTGTGTTCCCACTTCCTTTTGAACTATTCCTTCTTGATGCTAACAAATTTCTTTTGAACTACTTCCCATCTGTGTAATAGACCTTTTTATCTTCCCAATAGTTTCCCTCAGCAAAGAATCCTTTCCATAAAAAATCTGTCAAAATTGAAAAAAAAGGGTAAATATCATGATTTAACCATGCCCCAGGCAATTGGTGGCAGGTCAGTAGGTGATGACTTATTTTTTATTATCATTTTAGCATTTAGAAAAATAATGTCAAGGTTCACCTCCTGTGGTTACATGTAAGTTACCCCATTTGAGAATATTAGGACTTAGTTCTTTATGCACAATTTCTTCATAGATGCCTATTGATTTTAAAATCTACTTTTGCAGCGGCTGACTGGAGGCATTCTTCTTTCACGGGATGTGGAATTTATTGTATTTTACAGAGGAAAGGACTTTTTGCCTCCATCTGTTTCAACTGCAATAGAAGAGAGGAGAAAGCATGGAACAGGCAGAAGCAAACAGAGGGTAGAGAATAGTTCATTGATTGACAATATGCCTGAAACAGATATAAAGACTGCAGGGCATCCATCTGCAAATAAATTTGAAGGTGGATATGATCAGAAGAGAAACCTTATATCTGACAAAACTAAAGAGAGCTCAAAGTCAGCTATTTACCGCATTACCACCAAGCTTTCTTTGGTATATATCTTTTAAAATTTTTAATTCCATGCTTTTACTTGTTGGTATTAAATTGTCAGTTCTATCTTCAATTTCATGTTTGTCATAACAGGCATTAGAAAAGAAGACAAAGGCAGAGAAGCTTCTAGCAGATCTAGAGAAAGCTGTAGAGCCCCAGAAACAAGAGTCAGATAGAGAGGGTATCACTGAAGAAGAAAGATATATGCTCAGGAAGGTTGGACTGAGAATGAAGCCTTTCTTACTATTGGGTGAGTTGTGCATCCTTGTGCAGAGTTGTTGAACTCAAAGCAGCTGGTTATGAATGATGCTCCTCAAGAGCATACTGGTGGGCATGTGAAGACCCATCAAAACCTTTTGGGTGAGTCTTCTCTAGAGGTGGGGCCCATTTTTAAGAACCATGACATTAGGTTATGTTAAATCTCTGTCTATTGTTTGAACCATTGACTTTGCATTTCACCTTGATATATTCAAATTCACCTGGTCCCACCCAGTTCATGTAGACTTGTGTAACTTGGAAATGGACGTGTCTGGTGTTAGACTCAGAAACAATGTGTCAGACACGCAATGTTTGTACAATTGCAAGTTATCATTTCAACTTATCTCATGGGCTTAATTCTGATTTGGACAGCTCTCAACTGTGGCAATCACCTGGGATCCGGATAACTGATTGGCTCTTTCTTTGTCTATATTCAGGTAGACGAGGAGTCTTTGATGGAACTGTTGAGAACATGCACCTCCACTGGAAATATAGGGAACTTGTAAAGGTAATTTCTAGTGAGAGGTCAATTGAAGATGTTCAAAGAACAGCACGAACATTAGAGGCTGAAAGTGGAGGTATACTGGTGGCAGTGGAGAGAGTGAACAAGGGTTGTGCAATCATTGTTTACCGTGGAAAGAATTATCAACGCCCTGTTGATTTGAGACCTAGGACACTCTTGAACAAAAAAGCAGCAATGAAGCGTTCCTTGGAGGCACAGCGCCATAAGGTGAACATGATCTTCTTTACTTTATCTACAGGAGCTTAATGTTGTGAAAAATTTCAAATCATTGAACTCAGCCTTAACCTTTGCATCCCATATTGTAATTGATGGTGCACATTCAGATGTCAAGGTCCTTTATTCAATGGATCCTTACAAGAGATTCCCTTATACCAAACAAGAACCTTACTGTGTTATCCTAAAGGCCTATTAGTGAGACAGTTGGATTGTGTAATGAGGTTGGTTTTCACCTTTGAGATCCTTGGCAGGTCTCATTGACTGGCATTACCTCATCATCCTACTTTATGCAACCTGTATATGACATATGTGGTTCTCAATGGTATTTAGACATGTCCTAGTCCTGGATGAATTATTGGAGTAGAAGACTTCTATCACTGGGGATTGTTATGAAACGTTAAAAATAAATAAACCTTTCTACAAGATCAAATTGATGGGAATTGTGATACAGAATTCATGTAAAAGGCCATTAGTGAACCCAGATACTGATGGGATCTTGTGTTGTTTGTTCTTGTATTTCTTGTTCATCTAATGTTAGTTGCTTTCAACATCATCTCATGCCTTGCCCTGTTTAATTGATGTAGTCTTTGAAGCTTCACATCTTGAGGCTTACCAGGGACATAGACCAATTGAAGCTGCAGTTGGTAAGTTTCTCTTCATTTATGATAGTATATTCTTTTAGGGGTTCTTGAACCATTATTGCCATTTTAACTGGTTAAAAAAAAATCTCGATTTCTACTAATACAGTTTACTTGTACACTGACCCAGGGCAATGAAAACATGAAGACAAATTGTCTACAGTCAACAGCTCAAAAAATACCAGATACTGAGTCTGTAACCAGTGAAATCTATGACTCTACAGATTCTGTTCATGACCAAGAAGGTGTAGAGGTAAGGAGCACACCAATATAGAAACTGAAAATTAACAGACACTGCACCTCAAAATGCAGTCAATCTATACATGCTTCTAGAATGTATTACAGTAGTTAGATAGTATAAATTCATTGTCATCTAGATGCTCTTAAATCAAATTCTGTGGAACTTGCTTTTATCTGACATGCTTGAGGGCTTGGAAGTTGAGAAAAAAAGACCATTACCCAATGTTAGTGCCAGCTATGCAAGGTGCCAACTGCCAACCAGCAGGTTGGTAAGGTCTCCTGCTGGTCGTAGTGGAGACTTGGGATTGAATCCTGCCTGCATCTGGGTTGGGGGATGGGCTACCCTCCGTTGTGTAGCCCTTCAAAGGAAATCAAAAAATGTTAGTCCCAGCTATCTGGGATCTTGGGAGGGGTAGACTAGGTACAGTCCTATCCTTGGGCTTTTTCATTTTAACTTTTTGCACAATGTGACCACCCTCAGACTCAAACCGGTTTTCTCATGCATGCCAGCCCAAGTTTTTTTTTTTTTTTTTTTTGCACAAAATTTTATATAGTTATCATGCCATAATCTGTTGCACAAATTTTTGTTTCTTTGCACCTTAGTCTGAGTTTTCTTTCTGTCATGGTTGCAAAGGCTGCAGAAAGGCATGAATCTGGTTCAACTTCTACATGCTCAAATTTTTGCATGCATATGTCAAGTGACACTGCAGAAACCCCTGAGCAGGATAAGTTTGTGGATTCCATTTCCAGATATGAAGATGAAACAGATAAAGCTGAATTGGAGTCTTCATCTGAACAAGTCCTTGAAGAAACTGATTCAAACAATTTCTCAGATGAAGTAGAAGAAAGAGGCACTGGTGTTTCTATATCTCATTCTGAGAGTTCAATGGTTAGAAACATCATTTATCCATGCTGATTTTGCTTTTCTGCTATTTTCTGTTATAATTTAGTTATTGCCGATGTCACAGTGGCATGGTGGGACAACATATTCTGTCAATGATAATGGCACCACTGGTCTTTCTGAGGATGAGACAAGGGAATCACCTGTTGAATCAATCGGAGGAAAACCTGAGTTATCAGTTCACAAAGATGTACAGAAAGGAAATAATGAGGTTTCCTTTAGAGCCTCACCTCTCTCCAATAGGGACAGGCTTATTTTACGAAAGCAAGCACTCAAGATGAAAAGGCGTCCTGTGCTAGCTGTTGGTAATTCCCACTGGTCCTCCTTAATGTTTCCTGTTTACCTTTGTTTTTTTTTTTTTTTTTTGAAAAATACAAGTTAAACGTTATGTTTAAACATTAAAAAAACCAGTAGTGCTTTAATAAAGAAATATTAAACTTTTGCATGCTTATTGTAATGTTTTGAATTGCTCCCAAACTTAAGCTTAAAAGTATCTCATATCTAGACCAAAATTAAAACCCTCTAAAAAGTGTCATCTCTATTCCCAAACTTACTAAAAGATTTAATTTTTAAGTCTGTTTTGTTTTCTGCTTGCTAAGAGAACTACGGTTTTCTTTCTTATGGTGGTGACACTCCTTTGTCTCTCCCTTGATCATATCATAAGACAAGCTGACAAGGTGGAGTGCAAGTCCATTGAAGAGAATTCATACACATCCTCAATCTGAGCCAGAGATTCATGCATGGTTTTTTAAACCTGTGCTCAGACTGTCATGTTCTAACTTCATTTAGAGAATTATGAGAACTCATAGATGAAATTGAAATATGTAATAAACAACAAACTGCTTAATAAAAAAGAAAATGAAATGATGAAAGCATACATCTGGCCCAGTTAACAGTATGTTCAATTTCAGGTTAAAGTCGAGAATGGGCTAACCGAGCCTTCTAAACTTTGACTGGGAATGTAGGCATCACCATGCTGCAGATCTCCCTGCATTCCAATATTTACTCATGGATGGTGCACATTTGTGAAAGCATATGAACTGGTACATCTACACTAGAGATATCAGTCATTTCATAGTGATGTGTTATCTGTTAAACTTCTCTAATCCATAAAAGAAGCTAAAATATTAGAAAAATAAAAGGAAAATGGGAAAAAACTTGGTTTTTAATAACACCAACGTATTTTATCCTTAATATATATAATGCAACATGATATGGTTAGTTTCTGGGATGTTGCATCATATGTTTCACATTACTCGTAGTATCTAAAACTAGTGCATCTTTGACAGTGCCATTACATGGAAGCCTTATTCTTGTTTCTACTTTGTTTTCTCAATCATAGTTTTCAAGGCGCCAAGGCGAGGCTAGGCGACTGGGGGGCACCTAGTCGCCTAGTCACCTAGGCGGGTGCCTAGGTGTTGCCTAGGCGATGGATTTTTTATGTTAAAAACATAGATCCTAGGGTAGTTCCCTAGGTACCATAACCATATTTCTTTAATAATTATTCATGATTTTCATAAGAAAAGTATAAATTTCATATTAAAGTATAGAAAATCAACATATTCATGAGAAGAAAAG